AAGTGATTCATTCATAAAAGATACGGTTTTTAATGAAATATGAATATCAAAAGTAAAGTCATATTGAGTTTTAATAGTTAATTTTTTCATCAGCTGTACTATTCCATAGCCCATACAGGTTGTACAATGAGAAATCTTGAATTCTTTCTTGCAAGAGCTATTCAGTATCAAAGAGCATTTGATGTTGAGTTTTAATATTAGGAAAAATATAAAAGCACAAAGGATTCTTTATTGTTTTTACAATAAATAATGGTTTTCCAGTTTGAGACTGGTGTACCCCAAGACAAAACAAAATTCAAAATTTACTAGTCCAAGGTACTGATTAGCTACTGCATATAAAACAAACAGATTTCAACAGACTATTGGTGTGGACTGTGAGTGTGGATATGATCCTATTAAGGGATTGGATGGTTATTGTTGTTGCCATTATTATAACTGTTGTTGTCATCATCATTATCACTGTTATTGTTATTGTTTTATATATCACCATTTTTATTGCTGTTGTTATTATTGTGATAAAAAAAAAAAAAAAAAAAAAAAAAAAAAAAAAAAAAAAAAAAAAAAAAAAAAAAAAAAAAAAAAAAAAAAAAAAAAAAAAAAAAAAAAAAAAAAAAAAAAAAAAAAAAAAAAAAAAAAAAAAAAAAAAAAAAAAAAAAAAAAAAAAAAAAAAAAAAAAAAAAAAAAAAAAAAAAAAAAAAAAAAAAAAAAAAAAAAAAAAAAAAAAAAAAAAAAAAAAAAAAAAAAAAAAAAAAAAAAAAAAAAAAAAAAAAAAAAAAAAAAAAAAAAAAAAAAAAAAAAAAAAAAAAAAAAAAAAAAAAAAAAAAAAAAAAAAAAAAAAAAAAAAAAAAAAAAAAAAAAAAAAAAAAAAAAAAAAAAAAAAAAAAAAAAAAAAAAAAAAAAAAAAAAAAAAAAAAAAAAAAAAAAAAAAAAAAAAAAAAAAAAAAAAAAAAAAAAAAAAAAAAAAAAAAAAAAAAAAAAAAAAAAAAAAAAAAAAAAAAAAAAAAAAAAAAAAAAAAAAAAAAAAAAAAAAAAAAAAAAAAAAAAAAAAAAAAAAAAAAAAAAAAAAAAAAAAAAAAAAAAAAAAAAAAAAAAAAAAAAAAAAAAAAAAAAAAAAAAAAAAAAAAAAAAAAAAAAAAAAAAAAAAAAAAAAAAAAAAAAAAAAAAAAAAAAAAAAAAAAAAAAAAAAAAAAAAAAAAAAAAAAAAAAAAAAAAAAAAAAAAAAAAAAAAAAAAAAAAAAAAAAAAAAAAAAAAAAAAAAAAAAAAAAAAAAAAAAAAAAAAAAAAAAAAAAAAAAAAAAAAAAAAAAAAAAAAAAAAAAAAAAAAAAAAAAAAAAAAAAAAAAAAAAAAAAAAAAAAAAAAAAAAAAAAAAAAAAAAAAAAAAAAAAAAAAAAAAAAAAAAAAAAAAAAAAAAAAAAAAAAAAAAAAAAAAAAAAAAAAAAAAAAAAAAAAAAAAAAAAAAAAAAAAAAAAAAAAAAAAAAAAAAAAAAAAAAAAAAAAAAAAAAAAAAAAAAAAAAAAAAAAAAAAAAAAAAAAAAAAAAAAAAAAAAAAAAAAAAAAAAAAAAAAAAAAAAAAAAAAAAAAAAAAAAAAAAAAAAAAAAAAAAAAAAAAAAAAAAAAAAAAAAAAAAAAAAAAAAAAAAAAAAAAAAAAAAAAAAAAAAAAAAAAAAAAAAAAAAAAAAAAAAAAAAAAAAAAAAAAAAAAAAAAAAAAAAAAAAAAAAAAAAAAAAAAAAAAAAAAAAAAAAAAAAAAAAAAAAAAAAAAAAAAAAAAAAAAAAAAAAAAAAAAAAAAAAAAAAAAAAAAAAAAAAAAAAAAAAAAAAAAAAAAAAAAAAAAAAAAAAAAAAAAAAAAAAAAAAAAAAAAAAAAAAAAAAAAAAAAAAAAAAAAAAAAAAAAAAAAAAAAAAAAAAAAAAAAAAAAAAAAAAAAAAAAAAAAAAAAAAAAAAAAAAAAAAAAAAAAAAAAAAAAAAAAAAAAAAAAAAAAAAAAAAAAAAAAAAAAAAAAAAAAAAAAAAAAAAAAAAAAAAAAAAAAAAAAAAAAAAAAAAAAAAAAAAAAAAAAAAAAAAAAAAAAAAAAAAAAAAAAAAAAAAAAAAAAAAAAAAAAAAAAAAAAAAAAAAAAAAAAAAAAAAAAAAAAAAAAAAAAAAAAAAAAAAAAAAAAAAAAAAAAAAAAAAAAAAAAAAAAAAAAAAAAAAAAAAAAAAAAAAAAAAAAAAAAAAAAAAAAAAAAAAAAAAAAAAAAAAAAAAAAAAAAAAAAAAAAAAAAAAAAAAAAAAAAAAAAAAAAAAAAAAAAAAAAAAAAAAAAAAAAAAAAAAAAAAAAAAAAAAAAAAAAAAAAAATGACTATGAATTTCTTAAAAGTTCTTGTGGATTATATGAACAAACTGAAATAGATATTTTCCAAAATATTTCATAGTCATGCTGTATAAAGGCCTCTGGATCTTGTGCATTTTTTCAAATGAAACATTTGTTTATTAACCCATTCCCGCCGGGCATGCCATGCCATGGCCACTCTGAGATTACTTGTTGGATTGTTTTTACACATAGATGGCTACACTTGTACTAAATCACCAATGAGCCAGTTACGAGTATCGCCTGTCTCGCCCGTTCACCTTTTTCTTTAATTTACGAAATAATTTACGTCATCTTATTTTGCTGTTACTAATGTTAAAAAACATTATAAAAGTTATAATGTTTATAATAAAAATAACACCATCAATATTCAAGGCACTAGTGAAAAATACGTATTCAAATCAGGCGTTAACAGAGCCATCTATGGGCAGACTATTCACAAAAAAATATAGAAAATAGGCTCAGTATTTTCCCCATTTTTTGTTCATTTTCCCCGGCGGCAATGGGTTAAATATTTTGTTGGTTTAAACTGTTATCCATACAATAAATTATATATTCATTTTAATAGATTGATTTATTGATTATTATATATTTTTTAAATAATAATAATAAGTACCTATAGTCTACAATTCCCATAATTTTTTTTTGTTAGCCAGTCACATCTTTATTAAAATTGCTTTCAGTCCAGTCCAGTGGCTTCCTGCAAGGGAAAGTGTAATGAAGTTACACGGTCTCAGTAGTAGGACCTAAGTTCAGGGCCATCTTATTCTTGTGTTGAATTTTTTTTTTTTTTTTTCAATAACAGTAAGAAACTGGCTTAATTTCCAAGATAGTTTTTTATGATATAAATAACAACTTGTCAAAAGTCTTCAGGGATGCCAAACTGTTTTTCAAAACTGTGATTTTCATAAATGTTGCTTGCATAAGATAATAGCTGTAGATATTTTACATATATAAAGGCCTGCATTACTGACAACATTTGGGTTTGGTATTCAAATACTAAAGCAAAAGGAAAATAAGCAGTTAAATCTTTCTCTTTAAAGAAGTTGATCTTTCAAACCGTGCCAGCTAGAAATGCTAGGCATATTTATATATATAGCAATGATAAAAAAAAAAATAGCAATGATAAAAAAAAAAATGACTATGAATTTCTTAGAAGTATAATGTGGATTACTCGGAAGTGCTGATTGCAAAGTGCCAGCTAGAAATGCTAGGCATATTTATATATATAGCAATGATAAAAAAAAAAATGACTATGAATTTCTTAGAAGTATAATGTGGATTACTCGGAAGTGCTGATTGCAAAGTGCCAGCTAGAAATGCTAGGCATATTTATATATATAGCAATGATAAAAAAAAAAATGACTATGAATTTCTTAGAAGTATAATGTGGATTACTCGGAAGTGCTGATTGCAAAGTGCCAGCTAGAAATGCTAGGCATATTTATATATATAGCAATGATAAAAAAAAAAATGACTATGAATTTCTTAGAAGTATAATGTGGATTACTCGGAAGTGCTGATTGCAAAGTGCCAGCTAGAAATGCTAGGCATATTTATATATATAGCAATGATAAAAAAAAAAATGACTATGAATTTCTTAGAAGTATAATGTGGAATGACTATGAATTTCTTAGAAGTATAATGTGGATTACTCGGAAGTGCTGATTGCAAAGTGCCAGCTAGAAATTTGAGCCCTACTTTTTAACCCAGTGCCTCCAGGAGAATTCTGGGTGTGCTGGACCTCTTTTCTGGGTTGTATTAAGGGATAAAAGTAAAAGGATTTTCTTTTTGTTTTTGCAAATAAGAGGTTTTATGCAGATATATACAAGGCTGCTACTCTCATGGTTTCAGTACTTCCCTTTTGTGTGTCAGACTTTAAGACAGTCACACTGGCAGAGCACCATATTACAATGTGTGTAGTGTTTATAGTGAAGGTTCACAGCAGTACAGTCTTTTGGTGTGTGGCGTTTTTCATGGATAGCATTTATTGACTATTCTTTTACAAAAGATAGTCAATCTGCACATTACACATCTTGTTCCCCATCAGGCAGTGCCCCAAGGCATGTGTTGTTTGGACATGAGGGTAATTTATAAAGAACTGCATAAAATGTAATGCATGCATCATAGTTACATGACATAATGACCCATCTTCTGGGGCTGTGATCAAGTCAGCTAAGACTCTAAATAGCATGTAACCTGGAGGCATTGAAACTGATTTGTTTCACCTCATGATTATAAGGTCACTGTATGATGAATTAATGCTCATCTTTTACCATTTTCCTATTGTCAGGGTAAGGTAGGTAGTTGTCATGAATTAAGGATGTTGCCAAATTTAATAGTATACAGAAAATAGTGGATATCTTTATATTGTTCTGTAGTAGATATATGAGTCACTTCCCTAAGAATCATAACCCATTTTTCAAAGAATTTTACCATGCCGAAGTGTATAGTTAAAATGCTTAATATTCAAACAGTAGATTTCCTTGAGGATTGAAGGAATGCATCCCACAAGCTGCTTTTCAGCATCTTTGATTATTTAGGTTTATATTTCATTAGGATGACTTTATTAGGGGAAGAAATTAACAGTTTCTAAAATCTGTTTCAGCTGAATTGTGTATAGCTATTTCTTTTATAAAGATATACTTATTTTATTGTCTTATTCTCTCCTTTATACAGAATGGACTCTGAGACGGCAGATTTCAGATACTACTTACTGCACGTATAAAATTGACCTATATATGCACCTATACATGTGTGTATATATACATGTTCACACCTACTGCTGATTGGACAATTCTTTCTAAACACTGTACAAAATGAGCACAAGAAAGAAGCGAGTGGACTTAAACATTGCTCAGAAATTGGATGTTATCAAGAAGCTGGAGGCTGACATAACAGTGGACAGCTTGTCTGAAGAGTATGGAGTCACCAAAGAGACGGTTCTGGACATTTATAAGGCTAAAGCTAAGATCATGGATTTTTATCATAAGTACAGTGTAAGAGAAGATTCTCAGGAAGATGTACCGTATTGCGGTGGAGTGGAAGCTAGGAAACGGATAAAAATGAGGTAAGGTTTTTTTTTTTTGTTATTGTATTGTAAATCCCCTTAGTTTTTTTTAGAAATAGGCATTGATAAACTGAGGTTCACCCCCTAAGTTTATAGAAGGAGGCTTCAAAAGGGTTGTGGGAAAAGGACAGTTTGAAAAAATGGTTTTAGTTATGATGTTTGTTTTTCAACATATGCTCCATTAAGGTCAATACACTTCTGCAAACATTGATACCAGCCTTTAAGTCTGTCTGAGTAAAACTGTGTCATGTGGTCTGAACCATGTCAGAGTAGTTCTTCTTACATCTTCAACCAATGAAAAATTGGTACCTTTCAATTATTTTTTAAAGCTTGAATACAAAGAGATGTTGGATGGGGCTAAATTGGGACTGTAAAGTGGATGTCGGACTATTTCTCATGGAAATTCACAGCTCATCTGCTGAGCACCATGAGTGGGTGCATTGTCATGGTGGAAGAGAATGTCTTGATGCAGCTTCCCAGGGCATTTTTCTGAGACTTTTTTTTTTTCTTTCTTTTTCTTGACAGTTTTCTCAGAATGCATTCATAATAATCAGATGTAATCAGATTGTTTTCTTGCTCCCAGGGAAGTCAACCAGCAAAATCCTCTCTGCATCCCAGGTCAACTTTTGCTTTGATTGTTTCACTTTCACCCCTGAGCAGCCACTGCTTTGATTGGATTTTGTCCTTGGGATCATACTGGTAGAGCCATATTTCATCCCACCACAATTCTCTACAAAAAAGCTTTGAGTCCTCATCCCACTTGTTCAAAATTTCCATTTCCATGTTGATTTCTTTGGGGCATTGTCACCATAAACTTGTTCCAGAGTGTCAATGATTTGCCTATTCTCCCTACCAAGTTTCACCGTGAATGTAATGTTTGTCCTGGCCTCGATTTTGGTGGATTCGGTGTTACTTGAATGGTGTTTGACTTCCAACTGGCAGCGATGCGTTATTACCTGCTTTTAAGGGCTCATGTTTGAATACATCATAACACGGTACAAGAATGTTCAGGTGCATTGAAATCAAAACCTTCTATATGATTTCTAGTTGTGGACTTTTTCCACAAACTTTTTGAAGCCCCCTCATAATGTTGGAAATTAACTTATTGATTATATTTTCACTCTTAGAAAAATAATTTACATTTTAGACTGCTCTTTTTCCTGAGATTGAAAAATTTTCTGCCAAGAGCGGGAATTAGTATTATTCAGCAGTGTAAAATTTACCTATTTGTCATTTGATACAGTGAACACATCATCAGTGGCAAAAGGAATTGTTCATACTGTAACAAGACAGTGAGTTCTCAACGGGCTCTGAAGACACATGAACGTCTACATATAGGAAAGGGGATATTCCAGTGCTCTGTCTGTGGAAAGACCTACCTTAACAAGGAGAAGTTCATCATCCACTTTAGGGTTCACACAGGCGAGAGACCTTTTGAGTGCTCACTCTGCAATAAGAAATTCAGTGGAAAATCAAATCTGAAGAAGCATGAGAAAACACATAAATATGATATACCATATGAATGTACAGTGTGCCAAAAAAAGTTCAATTTAGAGACAGCTTTCAGGGAGCATTTAAAATGTCATTCTGATTTTAAAAAGTATAGCTGTGCAGACTGTGATATGAAGTTCAATTCGAAGACCAATCTTTCACGCCACATCAGGATTCATACAGGGGAGAAGCCCTTCAAATGTTCCTTTTGTGACAAATCCTTTACTTCGAAGTCTGATTTGAAAAGGCATTTAAGGATTCACACTGGAGAAAAAGTTTCGTGTTCCCAGTGCAACAAAACATTTAACACCCCTTCCAATCTCAGGATCCATGAAAGGATACACACAGGTGAAAAGCCATACGAGTGTTCATACTGTGGCAAGAAATTTGTTTCTAGTTCGAATTGCAAAGTGCATGAAAAAATTCACAAAGATGAGAGACCTTTTCAATGTAAACTCTGCAACAAAAGTTTCAGAGCAAAGTGTAAGTTGGAAAGACATAAAAAAACTCACAGAGATACAGAGTTACACAGCGAGGTTCCTTGTGTTAGTTTAGGAAATTCAAAATCTGAAGAAAAGTTTGTCAGTCCTGCACCAAAAAGAAAGTATTACAAGGCTGAGCAGAGTGAAGAGGCCACAAAATTCTTGACTGTTGGGCAGGAAGTACAGGTATCTTTCACAAACAGTAGCAATTATATGCTTGATTCTGCTAAAAAATATAGTCACTCTGTGCTTGACTCTTCTAAAGAAGATAGTCACCCTATCCGTAAATCTCCCATAGAATATAGTTACTCTATGCATAAAATGCATAATTACTTGATGCATGAATATCCATCAAAGGACTTACACTCTGAGCCTACAGCTCAATCAAAGATTATTCAGTCTGTGTGTAAATCTCCATTAGAGAATAGTCATTCCATGCATGAATCCCAACCAAAGAACAGTCTTTCCAAGTGTGAGTTTCGCACTGGGGAAAACAGACCAAAGAAACTAGTTCAGAATAAGATATCCTCTTTTTTCCCAACCAAGGATATAGTTAGACCTGCAAAGGAGCTTCATGCAAAGAAAAGCCTCCACGATGCAACTAAACCAAAGGACGACTGGAGAGTTTTTGTTTCTATATTAATTGTCAATATGGAAGCTTGCCTGAAACGCCAATATTCAGAGAATGAAACAGTAATTTCAGAGTAAATGTTTAGTTTACTTATAAAGAAATTGTACAGTGTTGTTTCTTTACTCATTGTGATATGCAATATGATTTGCTTAGACCTTATGAAAATAAAATTTTCTGTTATGTCTTTCTTTGATTAGAATGCAATCCTGTTGTGGTTCATATACACTTAAATATTGCAAGGTGATAGAATACCTCAGCCCTCACCTCAACTAAATTTGCATGGGCTTTTCTTCTCCTTTTTTCCTTTTCCTTCTCCTCTTCATCCTTTTATTCTGTCCACTTCCTAAGGTGTAAGAGCCGTGCTGAAAGGATGAAAGACTGGCTTTGGGTCAACCCTAAACAGCTTTTGGAAGTAATTGGCAAGGTATTGGGACCCTGAGTGGTATACCATTTCTTTTCCCCCACTTATTTCCCTTCATCAAATAGGCTATCTGAATTTGATTTCCTGACACCTGCCTTTCCATTGACCACAGCTCCAACCACTTGATACTAATACTCTCTTCTTGATGTTTACTGACAACTCTATCCATCTGATCATCCACCCAGTACATTACTCAACCTTCAGAATACACCCTTCCTCTCTCTCAACAGCCTCCACTCCATCTCCTACTGTACAGTCTTCTTCATTGTCTACCCCCTCCCCCCTTATTACGATTCTTCATCCTCCCCACAGTACTACATAACTCCACACCATTCCATCTTCCTACCGTCCTCGTCCTTCTACTGTTTCTGCTTCTGCAAACCTTTTGAATACTTTTTTTGGCCCAGACAAATGGGATTGATCCTTTGTGATTCCCCTACAGCCTCCTTACTCTGAAAATACCATTCTCTTCCAACAATGTCTTCAGAAACAGGTAGGCAAAGTTTCCTTTCGCAGTCATTCCGACTGTTCACTCTATCATAGTTACATCTGAGTCCCAAGTTTGTGCATTATCTACTTTCACTAACTTCACTAGCAAACCTATTCTTGCCGAACTTCATTCCTCTCTTAATACTTGTACCAGAACTGTTTCCGTCTCCCCAATTAGTTGTCCTATGTACAACAGGGATTGGTCAGGCTGTGAAAACAAATGCTCACCTGCCTTCTTGACTATGATACAATGGCACTACAGTGCTACACTATTCCTCCCAGAGGCCAAAAGTTAGCTTCCGTAGACACGACCTCCCCCATGAAGTTAATAGTGGTGGAGTGTCCTGTCCTGTCTGACCATATAGTCCCCTTCCCTGTCAGTGTCAAAAATGTTGGCATTTTAACCACCCAGCCAAACTATCAAACCACAGTCCACTGCCCTCTTTGTACCCAACCTGATCATGACCATTCAAATTGCTCTGTTTAGTCACATGTGTGCTAACTGTGGTGGCTGCCCTGCCTACACGGTCGAATCTCATATTCAGACTATACCTCATCTACATGAGGTCAGGCAGAAGCATGCCTCTACTTATTCCAAAACTCATTTGCGCTCCTCCCATCTTCTCAAGAAGTGTCAGTATCTCTTCCCTCTACCTTAACCATCCTACTCAACTCCCTCTCTCTCCCAGTCAAATTCCTTTTCCAGTCTAAATGATGCCTACCCCTTTTTCTCTTCACTTTGCCTGTCACACCATATAATCCTTTCCTACAACCCAAGACATCCCTAACTTCCTAAACATGACCTAAACATACGCATGCTCCACTCCTTCATCCACCCTCCAATCCCTATATTCCTATACTCTCTACATTCAAAGTATTTGCCGATATCTATCTTCCTCCTCTAGTTCTCCCAACCCCTCTTCCTCCCACTCTCTCCCAAAATACCCCATCCTCTCCTTCTCCATGTGCATCACCATTCTCCTTCTCCTCATTATCCTTACCACCCCCACATGGATGCACACGTGACTCCCTTCTGGTGCTTATGATCCTTCCCCTCCTGACATTTTTCCTGATACTTTAACACCTTCTCATGTTCCTTTATCCCATTTCCCAGATTCTTCTCCAACACCCATCTTTACCCGCATTACTTGTTGATGGTTTCATAATGGCTCCTTTGCCTGTTTTCTTTAAACAGTGTTCCTTTTCCTTCCTCAGACGCAATACTCTCCATTTCATCCAGTTACCCTTAACCCTTTTCTCCATTACTAATCTCTGCATTACTTCCTTTGCTCCCCTCCCCCCCTCTTTACCCTTTTCACTAACATACTATCCTATAACGCTCTATAACCTTTGACATCTAACATCTAACTTATTTTCATCTCTTGCCACAATACTATACCATAGTGAAAGATGAAAACACTACCATGTTGAAACTATGGTAGAAAAATCATAGTGCTATATGACCGTTGATGTCTAGCACATTTTTTTGTTTTAACCATGAACCATTTACCCTTTTCACCACTGTGCAATCTTATCGAGTTCTACAACCTTTGACATGTGACACAATAATCTACCATTGTGCTATGTGACCTTTGATATCTAGCACATTTATTAACCATTTCAACCCACTGCAAGGTATTATAAGTTTGTTAAGCCTCCACCAGATACTGAGGTCAGATTGCCTAATCAAAGATAACCCCATAGAATCATGGATTTTATCATTATTGTACTCAGTTAATATAGTGAAATGTTAGCTGCATAGGAAATGAA